TGAGCTTTTGTGAAATAAAATACAGGGCTTTCTCTCGGGTGATATCGCTTCCGCGGCGTGAGGGCGTGACTCTGCCCAATAATTGGTATTAGAGCCCTTGAGCAGATTGGTGGTGGTAGAACTTCTGATTTGAGGTGGTGATTGGTTATTGTGTGGTAAAACACAAGGTATTTGTTAAAATTCCTAAGAGAAACAGTTTTATTAATACAAGCGGAAAATAGCATCTACAAGTAAAACAGTTAAAGTTAGAAAGTACGAGATTAAAAAATTCAATGGGAAGAATGATTTTTCTTATTGGAGGATGCAAATGAAAAAATTGTTGATTTCGCAAAAGTTGCACAAAGCTTTGGCGGGAAAAGAGAAGAAGCACAAGGACATGTCTGATGAGGATTGGGAAGAGCTAGATTTTGAAGCACGAGCGTCGATTATTATATGTCTTGAAAGGGATGTGGCTTTCTTGGTGGATGGAGAGGAAACGGTTACGAACGTGTGGTTAAAGTTAGAGAGCACCTTCATGACGAAGAATCTAACAAACCGGATCTATTTAAAATCCAAATTGTACACTTGCAAGATGGAGGACGGCTCATCAATTCGGGAGTATATCAACAAGTTCGATAGGATCTTATCGGATTTGAAAGACATTGAGATGATAGTGGAAGACGATGATCAGACACTTCTACTACTTCTATCTCTGCCGAAGTCTTATGAGAATCTGGTTTAAACACTGATGCTTGTGGGTGACAGTTTGTTGATGGATGAGACTGGAATGGCGCTTCTAGCAGATGATCTTCGGAAAATTATAACTAGGATATGACCACTGGTGGTAACAAAGAACACACGCATGGGGTTTTTGCTAGAGGAAGGGGTAATGAGAGAGGAAAATGCAAGGAAGGAAAGTCCAGATCAAAGTCAATTGTCCTAACAAAAGAGTAGGTGGGAAGAAGAACAACAACAAGAATGAAAGACGAGAAGGCAAGGAAGAGGCGAGCTACGCTTCAAGGGAAGGGAACGATAATGAATGCTATGTCGTCACGGATGGCGAGGATACCTCCGGGAAGTGGATACTTGATTCTGGTTGCTCTTACCACATGTGTCCAAATAGGAAGTGATTTACTACCTACAGGAGCATTGATGGTGGAACTGTATTGATAGGGAACAACCATGCTTGTAAAACTGTGGGGCTAGGTGATATCAAGATCAATATGCATGATGGAGTGGTTCGAACCTTGACGGATGTAAAACACGTTCCCGACTTACGGAAGAATCTTATCTTAGTTGGTGCTTTGGACTCCGGGGGTTGCAAGGTTGTAACAGAGAACAGAATGAAGAGGGTTGTTCGGGGTTCCTTAGTAGCGATGAAGCGCATTCGTCATGGTAACCTATATACTCTCTTGGGTACGACGGTGACGGGAGATGTAGCTGTTGGAACTGATGGAAGTGGTGGAGACCCATGTGAGCACATACGGTTATGGCATAGGCGGTTTGGGCACATGTCAGAGAAGGGTCTAGATCTGCTTGGTAAGGATGGTTTATTGAAGAATCTGAAGAAGCCTTGTATGGATTTTTGCGAGGACTGTGTGTATGGAAAGACACATAGGGTCCGGTTTCTGACAAGCAATCACAAGAGAAGAGAGATACTAAATTATATGCACACGAATGTTTGGGGTCCGGCTTCGACAACTTCCAATGGTGGTTCCAGATATTTTGTCTCATTCATAGATGATCATTCGAGAGATGCTTGGATTTATTTTTTGAAGCATAAGAATGATGTATTTTAGACATTCAAGAAGTGGAAGGCGATGGTTAAGAACATGACAGGAAAGAAATTAAAGACATTGAGATCTGACAACGGTACAGAGTATGCACATGGTGCCTTCAAGGAGTTCTGTGATCAGGAGGGGATTTCCAGACACTGGACAGTTAGATCTACACCACAACAAAATGGATCGCGGAGAGACTGAACCGAACACTGCGGGAGAAAGCAATGAGTATGTGATCATATGCTGGTTTGGACAAAGAATGGTGGGTAGAGTCAATTGCTACAGCTTACTATATTGTGAATCGATCCCCGCATTCTACATTGGATGGTGATACACTCTATCGGGTGTGGTCAGGGGAGCATGCAAATTATGAGAGGCTCCAAATTTTTAGGTGTACCGCCTACTATCACATCAACGAGGGAAAGCTTGACGCGAGGGCCAAGAAGGCAATTTTCTTGGGGGGAAAGCTTGACGCGAGGGCCAAGAAGGCAATTTTCTTGGGGTATGCAAAGGGTGTAAAAGGCTATCGCCTTTGGTGTACAGAAGATCCAAGAAGGCAATTTTCTTGGGGTATGCAAAGGGTGTAAAAGGCTATCGCCTTTGGTGTACAGAAGATTGGAAGTTCGTGATCAGCAGGGATGTTACCTTTGATGAGAAACCCATGATTGCTAGGACGCCCAAGGTTAATGGTGTTGGGACTGTTGGCACTTCAAAGTCCCAGGTGATTGACATAGAACCTAAGGACGAACCATAAATATCTAATTGCCATTATTAGTTGTTTGCTACAATTGTATATGATCAAACTCGCACAAACACTATATCTAATATTTACTGTAAATATATTTTTAGATGTTTTGAAGACATATCTATGGAGAAAGTATATATACCCTCTATTTCTGATGGAATATGTCTCAAGCACATGTCTGCATCTTACTAAATTTTGGTCTTTAAAATTTTAAATGAAGTTCAGTAGTCAACATTAACAAAACCCATTTGTTCTTCTGAACTTTGTAAATTTTTTCTTTTTGGAAGTTTGAAGTATATGTAATGCAGCAAATCAACACAGACCCTGATTTTTGCAACTAAACACACTTGGGTTCTACTAGATCCGTTACTGCAAAATGTTTTGAATCATGATCCTTAGATTATTAAGATGATGTATTAATACTCTTGCAGAGGAGAATATGAAAGAGGATGGACTCTTACCCTAGGAAAAGACAATTCAGCCTCCTAATTTTCCATAAACTGTCTCTTTAAAATTTAATTTGTTTTACTAATGTCTGTTAGCCAGGTGAAACAAAGAATTTGTGCAAGTTTTGTAGCACGAAAGGATTTAACAAATTCTCACAATAAATCACATCATATCTCATTGAAAGAGAATTCACAGAAAACCCGAAACTATAGAACTTAAAAAGTGTGATCATCATACATTTCTAAAGATGACTGAAAAACATGATGATTGTTTTTTCAATAAGTCACAACATCGCAAACTAAAAGTTATCCATGCTTATCTCGATAACTGAAAATATCATAAAACACTAACTTTTCATAGAGAAATTTAGAAGATTTACTAATCAACAATAATAGATATTTTGATGCGTCTTTAACATCAGCTGTCGCATTAGAAACTTGTTTATTCTCCTGTCGCGCGTAGACAAGTTCCCATTATCATACTAAACTATCCTTAAGCAGTAATTATAGATCTCAAAACTATAGTTGACATATAAATTGTAGTGTTATATAATTAGTAAAAATAATTGCTAAATTATAGCTTCCTACCTTCTTAAATTGATTGACTTATTCTATTAGCTAGTCACTTTTTACTGTACAACAGCCATCTAGCAAAAAGTAATCTCCTTAAAACTTCCCATGATGGAGATCTAAGGAGATCTAAGACCTGTATGCCTAAAAGAGTATCATTACCATTTAAATTGAGAATGTGATTATGGTGCTATCATGAGAATAAGGTGGACGAGTGTGGTCCAAGGAGAGCACGTGACACGTGTAATGTAGATTTAGTTAATTAATTGGACTAATCAAAGGCTTACACTTAATGATCTCAATTAAATTGGTCATTAGCTTCTTGGCCGATATGTTCGTACTTATTTATAGAAGAGCCAGCTAATTTATGACAGACTAAGCTCTCCGACGATTTTATTTATCACAGATTAAGCTAACATTTTCGTCACGCGAGTCGCATACAAAATCAAATACCACCACACCACAGCTTATAACATTTTAAAACTCACAAAAACCACGCAACTTGCAAATATCCAAATAAAAAACGAGAAAGACCCTCTCGAGCACACCACACTCTGTGCCATGCACGTGCTGCGTCGAGCATCATCAGTTCATCGGACAAATTTTGTTGAAAACGGACCGCTTTGCAAAAATATTAAAAAAAAAAAGATTCGTTTCCACTTTATTTTTAAAAAACGATCTAGTTTTAACCTCAGCGCTGAAACTGGGTCAGTTTTTTTTTAAAAAAAAGTTCTCAAACTTCCTGCGAAATTTTATTATGTAAAAAACTTCACGGGCTCAGGTCTGAAACTATGTTATTTTTTGCGAATATTTTCAAAACGGGTCTTTTTTTGGGAATATTTTTGCAAAATGGTCTGTTTTCAAAATTTGCCCTCAGTTCATCTTGCGGAACACGAAGGGGCTAATCACAAATATATTAGAGCATCTCCAACAGCTTCCCCATCTTCTTGGTATTCTAAAATTTGGAGAATTTTGAGCTTTTTTTTGTCCAACAGATTCCCCATCTCATTCCCCAAAATGGAGATAGGAGAGGAAAAATAGAGAGCCTTCTCCAAATCTGCAGCATTCTGCAAATATTTGGGGAAGCACTTTTTCACGTTCTTCTAGACTCAACCCACAAAAAACAACTCCATCTCCTCATTATAATAATAAATAATTTGGTCAAAATGGGGATTCTTCAAAATAACAAATAATTTATTATTTATTAGTCAAAGATGTAGAATATTTTTATTATTGTAATAAATGCATGATTCTTCAAAATGGGGAAGCTGTTGGAGTTGGAGCAAAAATAATTTGGAGAATATGATATTTGATTCCCTATTTTGGAGAAATTTTTAGGGAAGCTGTTGGAGATGCTCTTGCATGCTAAGTATTATTTACCCCGAGAAAATAAGGCGGATCGTAGATAACGTAGCTGAGAGAGAGAAAAAAGGAAGGAAAAAGGGGAAATAAAGTAAAAAGCCATTGCCACGGGATTTGAAGGGGGGAAAGGAAACGAGTAGCCAAAAAGCCAATAGAAAAAAGGGGAGGGGGGAAAAAGGATGAAAGGGAGAGAAGAGCGAATCAATGAGTATTGGATCTATATTCTCCCTTTCCCTCTCCTCTCAGATCCCTCCCTCCCTCTCGCTCGCTCTCTCTGCCTATCCCTCCTCGTCCTCTGCTCATTAACCTAGCGTCGATCTCGACGGGCGACGGTTAATCTCATAACGGATCCTCGTCGATCGAGAGGCGCCCTGTGCGATCCTGGACTGGAGTGCTTGCTAGCGATCATCAGGACCCTTCGAATGGGCTCCTGCTTGTCCACCGCCTCCGAAGCCTCCTCGCCGTCTTCGTCGGCGGCGACGCCGAGATCGAGGAAGAAGAGGGCGAGGAGGGCGCTGGGGAGGAGCGCCTCCTTCGAGGCGAAGAGCGATGAGGCGCTGCGCAAGATCCCGGGGAGGATGTTCTTGAACGGGGCGAGTGGGATTGCGTCGATGTTCACGCAGCAGGGGAAGAAGGGGACTAATCAGGATGCCATGATTGTTTGGGAGGTAATCCTAATAATTCTTGTGGTTTTTGGTTGGTTTTATGGGTTTCTTTTTAATTACGTTTGATTGATTGGAGTCGTTTATTAAGTGGTAGAAAATCTACCATGGTTTAGAAAATGGAGGCGAGGTTTGATTTTAAGGGGAAAGTAAGAAATCGCTACCAAAAGTGGCAGCTTGCAGTTAACAAATGCAAGTTTTTTAGGTAACAAGTGTTAGATAGAGGAAGTGAGGAGATGAAACTGTGATGGTATTGAATGTAAGTGCGGTTAGGTGACAGCTCTTTGTTATGTCTGGAGAGTGGGTCAAGTTTGCACCTTTATAGCTCCTGGATTGCCAACTTTCGTTGAGAATAATAAAAGAAGCCTTTTTGGTTTCATGTGATTTACTTACTCTGGCCATTTTTTCTTTATAGTAAAGTATCGTTATAAAAAATATTGAATCATCAAACACATGTCAATGCTATTGTATCAAGTTTCCCCCTACTGTCTTGAAGAGTTTGATTTGGGGATGATAGAATCAATGTATTAGCATTAGGGTTGCACTCGCTGATAGCATTGTGGAATGGACGCGTGTCTAAATTTGAGAAGAATATGGATCCAAGTCTCATAATAAATAGATGTGCCAGAATCTGAAAACTGACTGGTACCTTGAACGCTTGAGCGAACAAAGAATGAGATGGCGGAGATCAGTTGACAGTTTTTAGATATTCAAATCCAGCAAAATACCTAATCTAGTAGGTGGGGAACCGAAAGTTGGAAGCTTGCTAGTATAAAGATATCATTATGTTAGTGGCGAAGGAGAAATATTTATGTAACACTTCATATGATGACAGACTTCAAGGCTTCAATCAAGCTTGGATGTCAGGCAGGCTGTGGTCTTAATGAGGAGCAGATGTTGGAGGTAGAACTTCAAATATAGGTGGTTATGGTGCTCAGACGTCAAAACAAAATGATCACAGAACATGAATTTTCAAGTGCACTATCAGAGCCTTAACATGGAAGGAATAGGCGAAGGCTGACAAAAGTGATTGGGGAATGCATATGAGTTGGTAACTTCAAATTTAGAGATTGGAGAATGCTTATGGGGTGGAAGCGAATTCTCATGAGTTAGAACTTTGATATTTAGGTGCTCGATGTGGGGAGTGGGGTATAAATCGAAGTGGGCTTTTGGTTGAAAAATTCTTTGATAACACTTGAACTTCACGGTCAGCACTCAGAAGACAGTAACTAGAGTAAGGAATGTGATACTGAAAACAGAAAGCACTCCGAGCATGGTGGAAGAATACATAGTTGGGAGATGGTGCTACGCCTGAGATAGACCAGCTATGTGGACCCTTTTCTCTATTTATTAGGAAAATCTTTCTTGACCCTCTTGATGCATCCTCCGAATCACTAGAATCTAGATAAGTTGTACTTCATCTCTATGTTCCAGGAACCTCATCTGTTGCATTATGATGCCTACTGATGTGAAGCCCATTGTTTCTTAGCTGAAGTCCCTGATATTTGCATCTGAGGTTGAAACCTTAGTCCTTTTCAACCGTGAGGTAGTACACTTTAGCAACACATAGCTTGACCTACCGCACCGTATCTAGCTCTGTTTGATAGAGGTAGTGGGCAATAAGAAGTGCCATCCCTGAGATAATGCACTTTAGCAAGGCATAGCTTGACCTACAGTATCTAGGCTCTGTTTGATACAGAGGTATCAGGCAATAAGAACTGCCACAAGGAATGGTGATGGTTAGAAGAAGAATATTTTTCTATGTTGGATTCATTGGACCTGTATATGATAAGATCACAGCCTTGAAAAGGTATCCAGAAATTGTAAGGAGTATGGCATAGTTAAGGTCTAATTCACTGCCAGCAAAAACAATTATACGCAATGGAAAATGAGAAATTTAAATAAAAGAAAAAAGAAAAAAAATAAAGAAAGAAATCCTCTCACACACAGATAAGCTAAAGTCTTGAAATGCATATAATCATCTTATGAACATGCTTATTATTGAATTCTATATCATAACATTACCAGCATACCTGCACCTTTTCTGAACATGTTATATGCAGAAATCGCTCTTTTTCCTGCTGCCTTGATTTATGCAGAACTTTGCATATGGTGTTAATTGTCTTTTCGTTATTGGTTGGACTACCGTCTAATCTAATTTTCAATCATTCCAGAACTTTTGTGCAAGAAGTGACACAGTTTTCTGCGGGGTATTTGACGGCCATGGACCATTTGGACATATGGTTGCAAGACGAGTGAGAGATTCTCTCCCTCTGAAGTTAAGTTCTCATTTGGAAGTAAAAGTTGGTAATGTTAGAGAGAACATCAGTATAACTACTGCAGGAAGCATGAATTCAGAGGATTCTTTGTCTCTTAATCTTGAGGAAGAATCTAGGGCTTCTGCTGATTTTGAAGAGAGAGATAATTATCCGGAGATGTTTATGGGACTGAAACAATCATTCTTGAAGGCCTTTAAAGTTATGGATAAAGAACTTAGGGTTCATCCAAATATTGATTGCTTCTGTAGCGGGACAACAGCTGTCACCCTTCTCAAGCAGGTATTTTGTAAATGGAATATTTTATTTTATAGTTTGCATCAGGGAACAATACCCCCTTTAACTTCTTCTAAACATTTTTGTAGGGTCAAGATCTCATAATCGGTAATGTCGGTGATTCGAGAGCTATTCTAGGTACCCGAGACCAAGATGACAGGTTGATTGCGGTTCAATTGACCGTGGACCTCAAGCCAAATCTTCCTAGTAAGTATTCTTCTCTTCTACATATTATTACAAGTAGTTTGTAATATTTTTATCTGATTCCCAATGTTTAATGGTTATTTCTTATGTATATGCATTGTGTTCATTTACAGGGATCTTTTTGTTGCTTGTAATTTATATTAAGCATAAGATTTGGCAACATTTTAAGTGAGTGTTTTAGAATTGCAATTCCATTTACTATTTATTGGTTCTCCACTTCTCCTAATTTCCTATGAACTCCAAGAGATTTCATTTGTGAATGTGATTAGAGGTTCTATATTTGCATTCTTGGGTGCATCCATATTTTTTCCAAAGAAAACATGGAATTTATATGAAGTGGAAAAATCTGTAGTTCGTGAAGAAATAGGATTAAGATGTTTACACCATGCACATTTAGATTACCATGGGGATGTACTGTTCTTATGGTAGGTGAGAATTAATACCTTAATCGGTTAAGATCTACGCACTAGTGGACATAAATATCAAGCAAATGATTGACCTGAAAACCTAGAGTAAACCATGAAATTCTATGAAACATCACATTTCAATCTTGTGAAATATCAGCATATATCTCAGAGAACATCAAACCGATGAAAGGAATGAAGTTGTAAATTCAAGCGTGACATCGTGTAAAATGGTGAGTCTCCCAAGGAACTGTAAGTTAATGCACGAGTCATATGGAATGGCGATCTTTCAAGAGATGAAGAGTGAACAATAGTAGCCTTAATTCCTTTTCTCGCCAGATTTAGGTGTAGCAAGTTTATTTCCTCCGATATTAGCAGCTTCCAACATTTTCCCTTTTCATTCCTCTTTTAAAAAGACTGTTTTTAGAATTTCCTGGATCTTGATGAATTTACAGATTTGATTAAGAGAAACTGCTAATAATGAAGCAGGTCACCAGAAACTCCAATATTTGTTTTTAGGTAAACACAACCCTCTGACGGACGTTTATGTATCAGTTGTATGTGATTCGTTTTGCATGTGTTACCAGCTGTGCGTGTGCGGTCGCGCGCCCTCCTGTGCACGTGCATTCAGTATTCATTGTTGAATTATTCTAGGAGATTGTATTGAGATAGTTTTATCTTAATCATGATCATAATTATACATAGTTTCATCTTAATCATGATCATAAAATCCAGTGATTTAGCATTGAATCATTAACAAAAAAATAACCTAACATGGAAACCATACTTTCAAACAAACGATTATGTCATGGAAAATTTTCATCAGCATAGCTAGAATGATAGCTAAGATTTATCAATTTAACCATGCTGGCATTTGATATGTGATATTTGTAGAACTTGTTGATGGGGAACTGTATGGGGTCCATCAAACCAACCAGATCTAAAAGTAAGATCTTCCATGATGCTAGTGATGTTGGTATTAACAGAAACAACTGAAGTTTATCCAAATTTCAAGAGCATGCTATTGAATTTTATATATGTTGTTCACGGGTGAGGGTGTTTTTTTTAAAAACGAATATAGTATGGTAATGACTAAGTTTCAGTATTATTTTGCATTATTGATTCTGCAGCAATCAGTTGATATTAGGCACATAACTTTATTTTACTTATTCTTTTACTGAAGGTGTGAAATCAGAAGTAAATGACTTTATTAAATGCATGGTTTTTCCATTATGCATATCCTTACAGATAAAATATCATAATTGTGACGGGTAACTGCATCAATCCATTACCTGAGGCCATTGAAAAACTTGATTGCTTTGTTTTATCATGCAATGACTACATGACTGTTGATTATCATGTTTATATACATTGGAGTCCATAGGTCCTCTTTGAAAATGGAAGTCAATTTTATTGCCTAAGCCAAACTCTACTAAATATTGCTTCTGGAGTGATCCTAGTGTAGAAGGATGGGCTACATTTCCATGGGAGTCGTGTACTTAAAGGGTGCAAACGGATCAGATACAGATCGGATATAATACTTGCCATATCCGTGTCTGCTTACCAATCACGGACATGGATACAAATACATGTCTCGGTTATGAAAACTCGTATTCATATTTGGCAAAATCAGATGCGGATACTAATCAAATAAGAGAAAATATATACAGATACAAAATGTATACGAAAAAGAAGCATATAAGATTTAAAAAAAGGTCATATGATACCACAGTCCATTCATCTGTTTGGCAGATCTGAGAAGCTAAGATTAGATTTCTGGATCATTAAAATTAACCTTAATTTATTTATTTAATGATAAAAACAAATGCTATTGTATGATCAACGTAGATTTACATATTTCAGATACAGATCCAGGTATTTCATTGTATTTCTGTATCCCGTACCCTTATCCTATCCGATATAGACATTTGCTCACCGTATCTGAATCTAACAAATAAGGAAATATTTGTGGATACAGACAACTTTTTCCACCCACCTACATGGAATTCTATTTGTTCATTAAGGTTTTATTCTCTCCAGTGGCTATTATCAGTATGCCCATTCATTTAACTATACAGTAGCAGGAAAAGGCAAAAGAATATGTCCATTAAATTCATGTGTCATTCTGCACAGGGGAAGCAGAGAGAATCAGGCGGTGTAAGGGCAGAGTTTTTGCACTTCAGGATGAGCCAGAGGTGGCTCGTGTTTGGCTTCCGAATAACGATTCCCCTGGCTTAGCAATGGCAAGAGCTTTTGGAGATTTTTGCCTCAAAGATTTCGGCCTGATCTCTGTCCCTGATGTTTCATATCGACGCATCACTGAAAAGGATAAGTTTATTGTCTTGGCCACTGATGGGGTAATGGAATCTTCATCTGATCTTTGTTATCCTTTTCTATTACAAAGAAAACTATCATTTTTCTGATAGATTTATAGCCAGTGGTTTCATTTCTTAGAAAATAAGATTTGCCCCTAACTCTAGCAGGTCTGGGATGTGCTATCCAATGAAGAAGTGGTAGACATTGTTGCCTCCACTCAAGTTCGGTCTTACGCAGCACGTTCCTTAGTTGAAGCAGCAGTTAGATCGTGGAGGATCAAATATCCAACCTCGAAAGTAGATGATTGTGCTGTAGTTTGCCTTTTCCTCAATGCAGATGAAAGTACCTCGGCTTCAAGTTCCAAAGAAGCGTGTAATAGTTGGTCATTTAACTCAACAGAAGCTGATGACAATACTGAACTAAATCCTTCGATTCCAACCTCACTAGACCGATCAGGAACAGTTAGGTCACCTGTGACTGTTCAAGGAGATAATATTGAAATAGAGGGTGTTGCCCGAGTTGATACACTATTAACACTTCCGAGGTTTGTTCCTGATACCAAGATCAAAAAAGCAACATGAAAGTTTTTAGCAACTCTGTGGACTATTGAAGAATGCCCACATTGTGTATGTATTGGTTATGTTATGGGTAAGCTGGGTATACCCGGGTTTATTAGTCTGATCGGGTAATTTGCTCTCCTGCCTGTTTCTTGATTTCCATGTCAAGTGTGAATGGAATTTTTTTGCTGTACAAGTTACAGGATAGTTTGATTGTTGTAATCACTCTGTGATATCATCACAAAAGGGGGTTTATGTTGTAGTCTTGATGTCCTTGAGCTGTATTTTGCTGATCTTCTCATGTTTTTCTTAAAGGAAATAGAGGCACTTGGTGCCCCATTCCATATTCGTACTGTGAGCCTCTGGTCGCATTGAAATTCATTTATCCACCTTTTTGCTCTGACAATGTTCTCTATGGGCAAATGAAAATGGAAGACTTTGGTTAAATTAGAACATAATAAAAGAGGAATATATCCCTCAAGACACCATAGAAGGAGTTTATACGTAGTACAAGTTAATAATAGTGGATTGGATATTGTTGGAAATATGCATTGATGAATTTAACACGCATAGTTAAGGGTGCGCTTTTTAAGTCTGCGGATAAAATACCCATCTAACAAAAATATGAGCAATTTGAACCTATGAGCTTATATAACTCTTATCTCAACACTATTTCTAACTATCCTAAGAAGAATATACAGTGATGAACATGTAATTTCGTTCATTCCTCATTTAGCTAACATCTGAAATTTAATATTTCACCAGAAAACTAATTAAATTCTGTACACTTCCCTCTTTACCGTGGAAAAGTTTGATAATGGATCGGTTATAGACCCGATAAGTCGATAACTAGTTGTTTATGCTATCATTATCGTCAACAGATAAACCCGCCAAAAAATGAGAACATTAACCATTGATCTCAATCGAATTGATAGGGTTTCGTCTTCTCCATTCCCCCCCTTTTTCTCTTCTTTCCCAAATCTCCGTCATCATCGATCATCGTCCGCCGTTTTCATGTCTCCATCGTCGGCGATCATCAGCTTGGCGAGGCCTCCATCACTGCCGACGATCTCCAGGCAAGCAAATTTTCTTTTCCTCCATTATTATTATTATTTTTTCTAGTTTTATACATCAATTCCCTCTCCTTCAAAGAAGTTGAACACTGATAAGTTAACCCTTGAAGCTGTAGCTATACACGCCATCACTTATTCATGGCACGATCATCAAGAGAAGCGACTTAAGCCACTCCAGGACTCTCAGCGTTCGCTGTTTGGCTTCGGAAAAACGAGGTTTTGGGGCTGACCCTGTCAAAAAGAAGGTAGGTGTTTCTGATGAGGTATATGATGAATATGATTGCTCTTTGACAATTCTTTGCAAAAAGATTGTTTTTTTTCCCTCTCCTTCTTTTATAGTCTACCAGCTTGCCTCATGAAAAAGTGTTTAACCAAGGAATATTTACTACGTTGCAGTTAAAGTGGGTTATTGATCGGTGGGGTTTGTTAGCAAACACAAAAGTAGGGTCATTCAATTTCTTAAGGGCATGGGATCATTTACAATCAGATGTCGTTAGAGTATTACAATCCTTAATCCTTACCACAACTTCATAGTTTTGGTGTAGTGACGGGTCCAGGTTTCGGCCCCTAAATATGAGCGCTCAACCTGACAGGGCATGTCAGAGTATATGAAGTTACGTCCCTCAACCCTCACCACACAACTTTGTAGTTCTGGTGTAGTGACAGCCGACAGGGTCTCTTGACACATGTAACCATCAGCTAGTGCTTTGAAAATGATATCGCAAAAAGTGGTTGAAGCTAGATCAACTCACATGGATGTCAACTTTAGTTGCAGTTCTGACTAGAACAATTTTCTTTGTTGCTCTTCCTGAAGACAACATGTATTATAAGACGGTGTAGGTTCTAACATCCAGCAATACCTTGGATAACCAGTTCAATTAGCATCAGAGCAGGTATGCAACTTCACACCAGAGGAAGAGAAAGTAACGTTGTGCACCCGCCAAGGAAGTCAGCGAAGGATGGTGGCATAATCTGCCACGTGGTGAGAAACAAACTTCTATGAACAAACCGTACATAAGTGTGAAAATTGCCACTTAGAATAGACTGTTTAAAAGTGTCTGTATTAAGTGGACCTGATGGGAGCTTGATATTAGAAAAACAAAACTGTTGGTCAAGAATTCATGGGGCAGCTGTAATTTGAGTCCGGTCAAGCTACTAACCTGGTAAATGAGATTTCAGATGAACCAGTGCTGAGAGACATGAGGTGCCCTCAAAGGAGGGGTGCTGGATGAGGGTATTTCTATGGACTGTAATTATCACTCTCTTGACATAGAACTGAAGGATGAAGCCATCAGGTAAATGCTGAGGTAGTAAGCACCAAGAAGTTTTGTGGATTTTAGTTCTCCAATCTGTTCTGTTCCATATAGTTAACAAAGATCCCTGCTGCAGCCTGTAACTGATATTCCATGATATATTACCATAGATAATACTTTGTGTTATTTTCAGCCTTAGGGAGATAAAAACGACCTCATGATTCCAATCATTATTGGTAAATGACCATGGTTCACTTATCCATGACTAACAAATTCTTTTAATACAGTTTCAAACTGCTGAAGGAATTTTGCATAATATTTAATATGTTTATTTATGTTCCTCATAGTCTATGTTCTTTTAGGTTAGCGCCTCAGCGCATTCCCCCATTTTATTTTTTCATATGCTTCTCCAGCTTGTAAGGGTCTTCTAGAGAGTTTATCCACTCAATAATTTAAGGTATTTCCCGGTTTTAGTAATGCCCCTATCTCAAATACATCAGGGAATAACTCTAGCCTATTAGTATTCACCAATGATGTAACCTTGGATATATCCCATGGAATAAGACAAATGATTTTTGATTGAGTGTAGAGAAATCAAATCTGGCCAATGTCTAAATAGAACCGTTTCCATCCTTCTAAGCTATCAAGTTGGAGTTAGCAAGGTTTTAAATATCGGATGTCGGGTTCATGTCGCTCGGCCAAAATTCATGTCGGATAGCGGAAATCGGGGATATATCGGGGGACATGAAAAAAATATCGGATTGCCATATCGGATAGGTTGATATAATATCATAAATGGAATCTTCACATACTTGATAATTATAGTCTAAACATATGAAAAAGTACATATGAGAAGGTCTTCATTTTCACAAGCAACCACCAAGTTTTTGCTTTTGCATAGAAAACCAAATAGACACTAGAACAGCTTAACTGCATATGTTTAGACAATTCTTATTAAAGTATAATAATTATCCAGAATATAAAAATTACTAATACAATTCTTTATACACAACTTTATTTATTAATGTAAAGATTTATTAATTGTTCAATTAAAGAATTTATGTTATTATAAAAGTCACTTCATAATTTTACACTCAAAGAAAAAGATTACAAAAAAAATGTTCACATACAAAGCGCGTGCATTATACTAGTAGGAACAAAAAGAAAATTCTACTGAAATTGAAAATTAAACTCGTAATTGCTATTCTAAACTACTTAACTGCATCGACTAACAATTGCAGGATTTTTATTATATATCTGTCATTTCTCCAAACAAGAAACTAGTAAAACCGAAGTATATGTGCACCTAATACAAATAAATTCATGTGTTCTTATAGCCTTCCATTATAAAGAAAACACATGCAATAACAAGTAATTAAAACCTACAACAAGCACCCATATGGGTAGTGGATGGGAAAAAATGTGAAACTTTACATAAATAGAAGGTGAAAGATATTGCAAATCATATGATTTCAACATGTCAATGTGAAACCGATATTTCTGAATTTTGGCCGATATTTGATGGCCGAAATGTCGCCCGATATATCCGCTATTTTCCGACATGTCCCCGACATGACATCAAAAACACCATACGCATTAAATTCAACAATTTCGTGGCGGCTAGGCTCCGAATCCGCAATATCGGCCGTCATGTCCGACATGGCGGCCGATATTTAAAACACTGCTAGTTAGATAAGCTTAAAGATGATCTGTATTTTTCCTGCTATACTTTTTATCTACAATAATTATGAAGTCACCTATTAGTACATATTTGATTTAGGAGGAAGATACCTAGCATTTTCATTTTTTATCCAACATATTGTTCATACATCTATACTACATATAAAAGAGGATTGGGGTGCTAAAACTTTTAATTATCCTTTTTACCCCTCTACTTTAATTATTTTATTGATTTAACTAATTTATCTCAAAGTCTCATTCAATAAGTCTTAAATTAAACTAAATTAAATCAAGTAAAAATCATCATAATAATAAGATTTAATTAGTTTCATAGGCTCGTAAAGATTCCATAGTTTCTTAGGCTCTTAAAGATTTCATAGCTTATTTAATTAAATGCATATGTTATGTATCCAGTTAACTAACAACTCTCTCATTTTCCCCTTTACATAACCTTTTTTTCGCCATCCATTCTCTTCAACCCACCACATCACCTACTAAGCCAAATTCCTACTCCAACACAATGGTTTCTGAAATATGTCATATGGAAAGTTTGTCAAATGGTTTATAGTGTACGTAGGTTGTGTATGTATGTGTATGTGCATGTGCATATATTGGATAATATTTGTCAAATAGTTTGTAGATTTAAAGATTTATTTTTTATGAAGTTGAAGACTATGTCCAATGTTCAATTCGTAGCTTTTGATTTGTGTTTTGTTTCTTGAATCATTGAAAAAGAGAAGGACAATAGATTATAGGAAGGTTATTATTTGAAAGTCTTGATATTTAAGAGTATATATAAATTTGATTTGGGAACCAAAGATTGTTTTCAATATGTACCTTTTTCTCTGGATTGGGTAGGATTCTTATTGATCTTCTAATACTTAGAAAGAATGTATGATCTTATTTTTGGAGTTTATTTAAAGCTATTTAAAGATTTTTCCCCCTTCCACAATGTTGTAAGGATCATTTTGTATTATTTATCATAAGTTGTGATTTTTCTTTTGAACATAGGTCATAAGTTCTGCTTACTTGTTCATTAGATATATTCATGGTTTAATTCTTAACTAATTTTCAGGTTCATATGCGCTTTAAGTTTAAAGGTGCCTCTCCAACGCTTTTAATGTTTCTTATCCGTTTGATTTACTTACCTCTATTAAGCATATTTTATATTCTTTTTTAAATAATTATGTTAATTATAAAACTTTGTTTGTTTTCTTTTTTATTAATCACCAATAAGTTCTTTGTTCCTATCAACTTTAGGCTACAAAAGCTAACTAATAAAACATATTAGCTATATATCCTCTGTTCATTGAGTAAGTCAGAATACACAAAACCTATATATGATATATTTACTGACTTGCATAAAAAAATTGATTTCTTATATGAAATCTGGATTAATTTGTCTCTTGATTGAGATTCTTTAATTTGGATTAAAATTTCGACTTATATAATTCCCATGAACTGAACTATTTAAACAATATCTTTATATCGATTGTGATTCCATTTTGCTATTATAGCTTTTGTAATTTTGCATCTAATAACAATTTTTGCTATTCCAACAGGATTCTAGACATTTAATATTAACTTTTTATTTTAGTGGCCTTTGTAACATTCGTATATGATATATTGAGAATCACTGTACCATAAGTAAATATTATATCATAAGTACATATTTAAGAATAAATTATATAGAATATACTATTAACTAATAATTTCTTAAACCAAGTACGCCACGTGCAACGTACGTGTGACATACTAGTTACATATTAAAATATCCATTCTTGTTAGCTGTTTCATCTTTAGTAATCCTTACTAGCTTGTATATAGATCTTGGCTTGCGTGTAAATCACACTGAAGCATGAAGCCATCAACATGACACATATCAGGCCTTGCTTTTTGTTCAACATATGATATAAAAGATCAACTATATACCTTTTTTTTCCTTTGTCTATCTCGCTGTCTCAATCTATCTTAAAAGATGAGATCTTCATGCAGACCACAGATCATACTACGCGTTGTATTCTTGTATTCGTTTTTTCTTTAGTTTAGTGCATTATGGCACAATGAATTTGCATTATTGTGTTTGTTAGTTGTCACTTCAAATGAATCAGCATTTATTTCATCCTGAGCTACCCTGAAAGGATATGCATATATTATTTTGATAGCTTAACAAGAAGAGCTTAGGCCATCTTAGATATCACCTTCTCTCTAATATCAAACACAGCTTACTTTTTGATGCAATTTACCGTCTGGTTTCTGAGTTTATTATCAGATAGTATCTTATACTGTGCATATTTTGGTGCAGCAAGTTGGTTTCTGAGTCGCCTAAGACACGAATGCGACGTGAGTTCTAATATATCTTCACTTGCTTATTACTATTTCTTACATCACATTATGGATACTAATATTTCTTGCTCTTAAAAGATAGGAAACAACATTATTCACTAGGATTATGGATTTGGTTTTGACACACCTCTTAATGCTTTACATTTTAACTACATCTACTGCATTTTTCTATGATTGTTGACATGGAAATGAATGAGATGCTACATCCTGCACTCGGGTATCGGACACTGCAATGTCCAAAATCTAGTGATGGTGATGACATGGCTATGTTTATTTTGTTTGGATCTATGGATGTTTGAATGTTATAAATTTATGTTAATATCATATGAGAACCTAATTTTGGTAAATTTCTCTATTCAAGATTTACCTTCTTCCAAATGGAGCATAACATACTCCATCTTTTGCATAAACTTTGACATAAATAGCATGAGAAATTTCTAGTGTCTGTCACATTTGTACACAGATTCCTTGTCCATGTCTGCCGGACATGCCGATTTTATGTTGTGAGAAGTGTACTACATCTCATATATTTTTTCTGCTTGTAGAGGCACCTGAACTAACCACTGGTCTTGACCAGAAGTCAAGAATCTTAGACCGTAAATTCTTGGAAAAAGTAGATGCGGTGAGAAGGTAAATTCATCTCCCCATTTGTCTATTAAACAGCTATTTACATTATTAATCAACAATCTTGTAGAAAGATTTTAACCTAAGTAGTATTTTCTTTTTCCCTGTTTTTGTATGCATTCATATACATATTTTTCTTGCCATTTTCTGAAATCAAATAAATCTGTTGTAGACAGTCAATTAATGTGGTGGGTAGAAGCAGTTGAAGATAAAACTTGAATACTCCTTTGTTTTATAGCAATTCTATTATTGTTTTAAAGTTTGCTGATCTTAGTTACTTTTCTCAAATTGTATTCTTACGACAATTATATTCCAATCTTCCTTTGAAGTTATTCTGGAAGATTCTTGGCATCTCACTCATTGTCATGCCTAATACACGATCACAATTATATTCCTAGTATTCCTTCCATTGAACTTTTCAGTCTATTTCATTTTCCCTCCCTATATTGCAAAGTCAAGGCCAATTTGTAGTAGCTTTAAATGTTATACCTATTTTGGCTCACTGCAGTTCTGCATGGTTGCTTAGTTATTCCCTTTAACTAGTGTGCACCCCGTGCAAAGCACAGCCCCTTATGTTTTTAAGCGCTGGATTTTGAACTTACCTCCCTCTAAGTTTTAATACATTTGATTTAATTATTATATGCTTAAAATTAGAAATCATATCTAACTCATCTATACTTAAAGAATGATCTAAATTTTAATACATTTGATTTAGAAATCATATCTACTCCTCTATAATTAAAGAAGGATCCAAGTTTTAATACATTTGATTTGCTTTACTGTTTATGAAACGTAAATTACTGTAGCAGGAAGAGTAACTTCAAGTATGGAGGAATAGATTGTTGCATTATTTAGTGCACCTTGTTCTCCTTGAAGATTACTTCTGTGAGTTTTCCTTTTTTTTTTGCATCTGGGAAAGTACTTTTCTCCCTGAAAACCTACCAACATTAAGAATCGTCCTGTAGCGTGCAAGAATATTTTATTTATTTTCCTAAGATTTGTTAGTTTACAGGATTGGGGGGTTGGCGTGGTGTACTCTGTGATTCATTTTCCTAATGAGAATTCTAAAAATTGATTTAATATTAACAATATACTTTCAGTTTGTACATAGCTTAAATTGTTTATTTAACCAAGAGGTGGGGATATTCTTGATTCCAATGTTTGACTTGTCTATTAAATTACTTTCTCAGTGAACTCCCTGTATAAATGGAAGGCATTTCCTTCTTATAAAGATATTTTAAACTGAAATCTTTCTTTAACCACATGTTATACTATGTCAGGTCGGCGCGGGAGCTGAAAAAAGTGGAGGAGGACAAACTCTATCAAGCAATTGATTATGATGCACCCGTTGAAACAGAACAAAGCACAACTGGACTTGGCACTAAGGTTCAGTTCATGTAGTTGATTATACGGACTGGAAATTATTCAGATTTTAGGTGATTTTTCTTTCCTTAAAATTCACTTTATCCATTTGAATGCAAAATAGGTTGGAGTTGGGATCGCTGTTGTGGTTTTCGGATTGGTTTTTGCTTTTGGAGACTTTCTTCCCTCTACAAGGTAAATTCATACTCTTGGATGTCTAGATTATTTTATGTGCTGTGTACTTGCTGGAAGAACTACAGCACTTATGGAAAGTTATTGTAGTTCCACGTCTATCATTTACACTGTATTATTAATCACTTCACCTGGAAATAAGTATTTCATGCTGCATTGTTCCACCTAACAATGATGGTGATGCCATGAATCATAAGAATTTGACTTATAAAAGTATTACATGTCAAGGAGCTAGCTATGTTTCGGCAGGCTATTTCAGCTTTTGTCAGATTTGAAGATTTTTATTCAGCTATAATTTTCCGTTTTTCTTTTCTATTAGAATATAAAGGCTAAAATACCAGTTTAGCCTATAAAGTGACACCCTCTTACCAATAAAGCCTACAAAGTGACGCCGGTGACAATAACACCTATAAATTGACACACTTAATCATTTACATCTACTCTGTCCGTCGGAGTTTTGATTATGAATATTTGTATATATACCCCTCATATCTCTCACACTTATAGATTTAACCTTCAAATTAAAATATTTGCATAAAAACTCAACTCTTTCTTTCTTCTCAACCTCTTTTCTCACCCTCCTCTCTTTCCTCCACTTCTCTCCTCCTCTTCCTCCCTTCTTCACTTTTAGTTAATATTTGAGGGGAGAGAGGAGAGAGAGGAAAGGAGAGGAGGGAGGGGAAGAGAAGACTGAGATGAGAAAATAGAGAAATGTTGAGTAGAGAAACATGGATGGAGAAGGAGGGAGATGGAGAGGGGAGATGAGGGTGAGGATTTTGGAAAGGAGAAAAGGGAAGATGGAGTAAGAGAGGTCAGAAGAGGAGGATGAAGCAGATGAGAGAGAGAGGGAGAGGGAGAGGGAGGGGGGAAGAGAGAGAGAGAGAGAGAGAGAGAGAGAGAGAGAGAGAGAGAGAGAGAGGGGGGGGGGGGGGGGGGGAGGGAGTAATTTTGGGAAGGAGGGAAAGTGAAGTGTGTGAGAGGGGAGAAGAGGAGGATGAAGGAGATGATGGGGAGAGATATGGGAGAGGGAGGGGAGGGGGGAATGATTTTTTATAAATATTTTGAATTTTAGAGGGTAAATCAGTAAATGTGAGAAATATGAGGGGGTATATGTGCAAAATTCCATAATTTTCCTGCTCAAATCAAATCTTCAGCGACGGGGGCAGGTGTAAATGGTTAATGTGTTAGTTTATAGGTATTATCACTGGCGTCACTTTTGAGGCCATATCGGTTAGTGGGTGTCACTTTATAGGCTAAAGTGGTATTTAAGCCTTTAAAAATGGTTGAGAAACAAATATGATATGTCATATCTATTCACGAATTATAGCGATTGACCTCTATTTAACTTACAATCAAGAACCTCCACATGAGGTTTCTAACTCTAACAACTAACCTTTAGCATGCTGTCTTGTCAGCAAATTAACTTTTCTGTTTTGAGCTTATGATTTGCATTTTAGGAAAAATATCAAGAATCTTCTTTTACTTTAAAGACGTCTCTTGTTCAAATAAGCATTCTCCATACGTGTTCTATAATGCTCCATATCTTTGTAAGTAATCCATATATATTCTAGACCTTAAACTATTGTTGGTTTTTAATGGTGTTTTGGAGCTGGATATATCGAGCTCATTGCCTTTTGAGCTGTTATTATATCTTGTCATTTACTATCGACCATTTATTTTCTTTCTTTACTTTTTTCCAAACAGACATGGGGAATTTGTTATTCTTGAACGAATTCTCTCTTTCAACTGTAATAAAAAATATGTTATTTTCTGTCTTTGCATTCCTGTTGTATCAATTTTTTTTTTTGCCCTTGAACTATCTATAAGAATTTCAGACTTCTCGCTTGTTGACCATGTAACACGACAGTGTAAACTTTCCCTGGATTTTCTTTCATGTGAGTTTCCATTTTGTTATCTTATTCTAATTTCTTGTTCTTCAAGATGTTTTCTTTAACTACTAGCATTTGTGAATCTCTTTTTGTTCATTTTGCTTGTTGCAGTGTTGGGCCTAACAATGATTCAGCTGTAGTTGAGAAGAAGCTTACTGACAAAGAGAAAGCAACTCTTAAGGTAGTCATCTTTACTTTTTTCATTGACATACCAATACTTATGATTAATTGATAATACATACAATGTTATCTACCTGAAGCGAGTCCTGCTGTCTTAGACTTTTAGTTAGTGAATTCAGTATGCACATATTACACACTCCTCAGGAAGCAGAAGTATTCAAAATAATGCCAATCAGGTGTTTTGCACTGACTGACATCCATTATCTCACTTAGTATTTCCTCAATGAAGGGGCACAAAAGCATGTTGCAAGTTGCAACTAATGATAAAATGAAGAGTAAAATGGGAGGAACCTGTATGATGGATTATGGAACCTTTGCTGTATTTATGAACATTTCATGATTCTTGTTTTCCCCTCTGTGAAATTTGCTTTTTTCCAAACTTATGGTCTTATCCTTTATTTTATCAAGAGAAATTTTCTTTTACCTTTGTCTATGTCATGATATTTTTTGTCAGACTTTACAACAAATTATCCTTCTTTTGTCTGTCATGATCTTACTTTGTCAGGTTTTACATCAAATTATCCAGTATACATCTATAGGATCAAAATGGACTTCTTTTGTATGCACATTCTGATTAGATTTCAATGTTCAAAAAGTTGTCCATTATCGCTGTTCAAAAGAAAAATGTAACTTATTTTAATATAATTTTTCCAGATGTAGATTCAATGCAAGGAGGTGAGAGATTTTTTTTTTTATGTTTATTTTTTTAGGAGGTGAGAATTTCATAGTGATTAGATCTGGAACCATGATTTGTTCATTGTACTACATGAATTTGACCTTTAAGCAATAGTTGTTGAAGAATTAATCGTAACTTGGTGAAATACAATCACACCAATGAAGTTCTCAATATAAGTATTCACTATTTTCTGATATCCTATTCTTGTTGGGCTTTCTAGTCCTGAAAATGCTAATTGATCACTGGAAGTGGTTTAGGAAACTTTATGATATTCCAAAGCAGATTAACACCTTAAACAAACACGTGTTACTCACCCTATTAATCTGATTTGAATACCTATTAAATTGAAGAAAATTTGTATGATTTAGACTTTTTATTAAGTAATTTGCATATGAGTGTGCAATGATCTAATTTTCTGGGCAGAATGAGAAATGTTTCTATTCTGAATTATATGGTAACTTAGTGAGAAATGTTTCTATTCTGAATTATATGGTAACTTAGTTTATTTTTCTTCTTGGTTATCTCCAGGAAAGACTTCAACAATTTGAAGCAGTGCTTAGCACTTCACCAGAGGATCCCACTGCTCTTGAAGTAAGTCGTATCCTCAGTATGCATTTAGTTGAAATCTGCAGCAAATATTTTCCTTTCCAGATGGACATATTGAATACTTGCATAAGGCTCTTTAGTTGTTAATATCATACTGAAACTTGTGTTCCTAAAATAAATTAATTCATTAATTCATCATGCATTACTGCGTTCTAAATTGACCTGTTTACATTACTAAGTTGAGGCATCTGGATCTTTAATGAAATTTATAAAATTGTAGTTCTATTCATCTAAAAAAATTCAGTTAAAATGAGGAAAGTTTACCTGCGCGATGCTGCGGCATTAGTGTGAAAAAAATCATAAAAATAATGGTTTAAACATTTAGTTTAAAAATACAGTTAGAAGAAAAATAATAGAAATTGCAGCAAAATATAAGAACTTACGCCTTGTACTAAACCTCTGAAATACAAAGTGAATTTAAGATTGACTCGTTGAATTATTTTGAGCCTAATAGTGGCTGGTGCTAAAACCTGGGATTTACAAGCAGAAAATCCTTTTCGCGAAATGATTGGGTTTTAGAAATCAATAGGGGTAAACCTTTAGATTTTCAGGCAAAACACCTATCTTTAGTTTACAATACCGCATCGTTAGTGTGACAGAGGACAAAATAATAAATAACAACGGTTTGAGCATTTGGTTTAAAAATATACAATACATATAAGCACTAAAATATATGGAATTTTTTTAAAAAAACACCTAGTATTAACATTTAATTAGTAAAATCGACTAACTTTTTATTTATTTAGTATTTTCGGCCAGTTTTGACCAAGTCAATGAAAAATTGGTCGGTTTTGAAAAATATCAATTTTATTGACTACTTGAGATTGGCAATCCCGGGTAGATACCTATTTAATCACGAATAATGGCTTTTGATATTATAGTTATGTTTTGAATAGTGAAGATGAGATTTGAGGTAATTACAATCAAATCGTAACTTCCATAATTAAATTGTCCTAATCAGATCAGAATTATCCATAATTAAAACTAGGCTAAATTGCACAAAAATGCCATAAAATTTTCCATTTTGACATTTAAATACCCAAGTCGCATTTTGGTACAATAAAATACAATAAAGTTTCTAAAGTTTGCATATTACTACCATCGATCAGGCAAACTTAAAAATTTTCACCTGAATGTTTCTCTACGATACTTGCATACTAATTTTAGAGCTTTTTAACTAATATTATTTGTTAAATTTGTTATTAAATCAACAAATTTTTTTTTTCAAACTTATCTTAATTATACTTTAAAATAGAATTGAGACATTTCTAATAAAATTTTTAACAAATATTAATGGTTAGAAAGATCTAAAATTAGCATGTAAGCATCATAGTGAAACATTAGGGTGAAAATTTCCATGTTTACATGATCGATGATAGTAACATGCAAATTTGGAAACTTTATGTTATTTTTTATATCAAAATGCAATTTGTGGTATTTAATTGTCAAAACTGAAAACTTTATGGTGTTTTTGTGCAATTTAGCCTTAAAACTATTCTAATCAAATCATAACTATATATAATTCAAAATCAAATTAAAACTATACATAATTAAAAACTACCATTGTAATCAACTTTTTGGCAATCTAATCAAATCATAATTATCTTTAAATTAATCGGAATTTTTTTTTTCCGTTTCCTTTTTCTTGAAAAAACTAGGTGTGTTCTTTACATCTATTTTCTAGTGTAATTTTTAGTTTGTTAACTGCAGGGGATCACCGATCCCGAGTAGTTACAAAATTTTAGGTTTTCACAACGTCCAACTTTTGGTTGGCGTGGCCAAAGTTGGTTGAAAATGCTAAATAAATATAAAAGGGGTTGATTTTCATAATTAAATGTTAAATTTTGATTTTTTTTTAAATTTTCCAAAATATATAGCAAGTTACAACAAAATATAGCAACATAGCGGAGTATTTTGGGTCTAAAAGTAATTTTTTAGGTTGATGGGTTTAAAATCTAATAGAGTAAAACTTTGGGTTTATAAGCAAAAATTCTTTCTAGAAATGATGGTTTTAAAAATAGATGATAGTAAAACTTTGAATAGAATGTTTTGGGTCTGAAAATATCATGTATGTAACAATTTATAACAAATATATAGCAAAGTTATAGCCAATGATAACATCTTACACCGTATATAAAAACTACTAAAATACAAAATATATTTCGTTTAAGAGTAATTATGGAAGCTCATATGTTTAAGAATAAATGCAAAGTGTGTTTATTAACTCAGTAGTGTATTTTGGCTATAAGAATGATTTCAGAAGTTTGTGGCTTCAAGAATAATTGATGGTAAAATTTTGGATTTATAAGCAAAAAACTTTGGAAGCGAGCGGGGTTAAAAATAAATGGGGCTAAAACTTTAGGCATGTTAGCAGAAACTTATATACAGCTTGTTATGCCATACATTACGGTGAAAAGTCTAAAAAATAATCACTTAAGCAATTAGTTAAAAAATACACCATACTCAATCATTTTGAACAAAAAAATTGCCAGCTAAAGCAGATTATAATAACCTACAACATGTACAAACTATTGAAATACGAAGTGAGTTTAAAAAATTTTGGTGAATATTTTTGATCTAATTGTGATCTCAGAAGTGTTTGGGTTCAAAATAGATGTAGGTAAAGCTTTGGATTAATTTAGCCATAACCTTTAAGGAAGTTCATGGTTTTAAAAAAAAATACTGTAAAACTATGGGTGGAGTACTTTAATGTGGATAGGTTTAACAATTAATGAGGAAAATTTTTTGGGTTTATAGGCAAAAAGCCTTTCTTTGAGAAGTGGATGAGTTTAAAATAAAAGGGAGCTGAAATTGGATTGATAGGCAAAAAGACAAAAAGAAATGTTAGTAAAAGGAGCTCTGGGTAGGTTCAAAAAGTATAAGGGGGCTAAAAATTGAGTTTATAGGCACAAATATGAAAAAAAATGAGGTTAAACATAGGTGACGATTTTTTTTTGAGTTTATAGGCAAAAAGACTTTCTTTGAGAAGTGAGAGGGTTTAAAAATAAAAGAGGTGTAAAAATTGGGTTTATAGGCAAAAAGACGCATATATGAGGAAAAAGAAGCTCTGGGTGAGTTTAAAATAGAAGGGAGATCAAAGGTGGGTTTATTAGTAAAAAGGCAAAAAAAAAAGAGAAATAAAGAGTTTTCAAGATTCGAACCAGGAACCTGCGGCATTTTCCCCCCTTTAAAGAATGACTTCAGTGTGCGTAAAACCTGCAACCTTAAATTAGAATGACGTACCACTAGGTCAACTTCCTAACTAATCATTTCTGTGGTCCTTATATTAAATGATAAGTTATTGGAGATGAACCGTAGTTACACACTGTTCGTCTCCAATAACTTTAGTATATAATATAATTTGGTTAGCTATACAACATGATGTCGCAACAAATCTTTATGCTAGATCTTTAGGGGCAGCTTCATGAATCACTTTTCTTCGCTCAGCTTTACTAGGACCATCCCTGATAATTTAATAACTCCAAAGCCTTTTATCTAGCTTTAGATCTACCCTTATCCTTTGGCTTCATTATTAAGGATCCATTGTTGTTAATAATCTCACTTGTCAGTCATTCGACATGTCTAAACTATTACATATAGATTTCCCAATTCCCCCAATTGTAGCCACATCTTACATGTTATGGATAAACTCATTTCTTCTACTATTTTTGAGCATTTCTCTGTTGTTTGCCCTTTTCTATCATAATGTTTCTTAATCACACAACATTTTACATTTAAAGCATTTCTACTTATATAATCATCTTCTTAACTTCTTTCAATACCATCTAAAATTACATAAGATTCAGGAAGCAGTTAAAAATGGCCAAGAATTGAGGTTATGTGAATGTTAGCAAGGAGAAACAAGGGCATACTTCAAATTGAGGAGGATACAGTTTTATGTTTTCAAATTTTAATGCAATGACATTGATGAATTTTTTTTCTTCTTCATGTCGTGAACAACAGCATCTATTCAGCTCAACTTGTTAGTTGATTTAGTGTGTTTTGTCGTCCTTTTTTCTTTAGTTCAATGTTAAACAAAAAGCTTCAAAGACCACATCTATGTAAATGGAATGATGTTTGAACGTGTATGAAAAATAATAGTTTTCCCAATTTAACAATGCATCTCATGCTGCACATTTGGAAGTTTATGATAAATAATAGTTTTCCAATTAATTCATTCTCATCATGTCCTGTGTGACCACTCTGAATTTTAGAGTGGGTACGAATGTTTGTATTTTTGTACAATGCTTAAATTAATTTTAAGAGATCTATTTCATACCGTCTTGCTTTTTACTATTTTCAAAAATTTGTTACTCTTGTCACAGTTTGTTTTGTTAGTTTGTTTTGCTAGCAATTTGTACGTGGTTTTGGCAATTTCTGTAGGGTGCAGCAGTGACTCTGGCAGAGTTAGGAGAATATGAACCGGCATCTTCTTTTCTTGAAAAGTTGATAAAGGTTTGAATTTGTATTTATCCCACTGCAAACAAATACTGTTGATAAGTATTCGTGATCTTAGTCCTCAAATGAAGTTTTTGATATTTTTTTTTCCTCTTTTGATATCCAGGAAAGACCAAATGACATTGAAGCTTTTCGGTTACTAGGAGAAGTGAAGTATGAGCTGAAGGATTTTGAAGGGAGCGCTTCAACATATAGAACTGCTTTATCCGTTAGTATATTCATTTTTCACCAGGCCATAGTTAGCGAGATCAATTACACTAGATAAAACATTTATTATGGCATGGTTATCACTTTATTTTAGAAATGGTTTTGCCATAGTTTGCGCAAGCTAGTTTAGCTTTTTTACCTCATTGGTCTATGACTAAGTAAATAAATAAATGTTCGAGAATCATTAAACAATGTCTGAATTACATCTATATTGCTCAAACAAATTGTTCATTCTTTCAAATGTAGTATTACATTAATACCACTCAAACTAAGTAAATAAACAAATGTTTGAGAAACATTAAACAGTGTGCTGAATTACATCCATATTGCTCAAAACAATTGCTCATCCTGTCAAACCTAGTATAATTGTTAGGATCCTTAGGGATCTTGCTTTTCAACTGGTATCGCTATGACACCAATTGTAAGGATTTTACTTTAGATCACAAACTTAACTTTTGGGTTTTGTGGGAAAGAATCAAAACAAACAAACAGTCATAAGATAAAACACAAGAAAATTTACGTGGTTCGGCAACGTGTCTATGTTCACGGGAGAAGGAGAGAGTGCTTTTATTACTTCAAGAAGAAGATGCATGATTACTTTTTCTCTTATTGACACATCACAAGAGTAATCTCTCCGGTTTCTTGTAATTCCTCACAAGAATAATAACTTTTCTCTTGTGAACCCTTACAAGAGTTGTCTCCTTTTCTTCATTTTCTTTTTCTTCATTTTCTTGACCTTGACAGTTTGACCTTTTGGTCTCTTTCTTTTTGGCTACCCTCTCTCTTCTCATCCTGAAATCCTACATCTGAGAGTATACCCCTTTTCATAGGGTAGAACCATAAAATCTCAGTCAATAGGATGTTAACTGTGCTAACTGTGCAGAAACACACCCGAGCAGTCCCACAGGGGGCCAGACCACCCAAAAACTGTCTGACGGGCAGTAAGACCAGTAGGTCCCACCGTCAAAATCCCATTGGTGGTGGACCAGCCAGTCGCCCACCAGTGGGACCAGCCAGCCCCACCACTGGTCATGCTACCACTGCTGTTTTCTGCTACTGTTACCGTCTTCCGTTGTTGCTGCTTCTTTGCACCGCTTAATTTTGAGCCACACGTCAACAATATTTCTTTATTTATTTTCCCTCTTTGATCTGCTGTTCGTGATAATTGTATTGTTTCCTCTCTTGTTTTTGGTTAGAAGGCCTCTGATGGTATCAATTTTGAAGTTCTTCGTGGGCTCACAAACTCATTGCTCGCTGCAAAAAAGCCTAGTGAGGTTTGTTTCCAAATTGCTATAGTTTATTTATATGCTTTATTGTTCTGATATGTTATATATGCTTTATTGTTCTGATATGTTATATATGCTTTATTGTTCTGATATGTTATATCATTCCCAAGTTTGTCAACTACCGTTGAATAATCTCTATAATCATTTGATATCGGGAGTGTGGCAAGTCGGACTTCATTAGACCTATATTTTACTCAATGCTGATATTTCATTTTATTTGTATAGTTCCCCAGTTGAAGGGAATAATTGGCCAAATCAGAAATCAGAATTAATTTTTTCTTAGATACCTCGATAAGATTCAGCTGTTGTGCACAGGGTCAAACTTCAATCTTAACAGCTTAATTCCCCTAGGAGTTGTCCTAAATCTCCATGTGAACTCCTAGGGCCCTGGGACATTTTGCTTCTTTATCAACAGAATCAGCTCTTTATTTATGTAACAATGACACCTCCATATTTTGGTGGTTGGTTCCTAGAAAAGTAAGGTTACATTTGCATCATACTCTTCAATGTCTAAGCAGATGATATTATAGTACAAATATATCTATGAACAAATTTTTAAAACAGCCCCATTTAGAGTTTTATTTTTCAAAATCGACCGGTTTTTTATTTATTTATCAAAACCGACCCGATTTTGTGATTAACCAGCTAATCACCTTCCTAAATAGTCGGGGTTGGCAACCCCGACTATTTAGGACCTTAATTTTTAGTGTTTAAGGCATCTAATCAGGGTTTAATACCCTCCTAAATAGTCGGGGTTGTCAACCCCGACGGGTTGCCAACCCCGACTTTTTAGGATTGGCAACCCCGACTATTTAGGATGGTGATTAGGCTGTTAATCATAAAATCGGGTCGGTTTTGGTAAATAAAAAAAAACCGGTCGATTTTGAAAAATAAAACTCTAAAGGGATCTGTTTTGAAAAATTGTTCTATATCTATATATAACTCCAGCCTTACCCTCCTAAATAGTCGGGGTTGCCAACCCCGACTTTTTAGGATTGGCAACCCCGACTATTTAGGATGGTGATTAGGCTGTTAATCATAAAATCGGGTCGGTTTTGGTAAATAAAAAAAAACCGGTCGATTTTGAAAAATAAAACTCTAAAGGGATCTGTTTTGAAAAATTGTTCTATATCTATATATAACTCCAGCCTTAAAGGTAAAACATGGAGTATTGAATGACCTTATCATATACTCAAGACCCTACAAGAACTACAATTTGTATTATTATCTGTATTTTGATGATGGAATTAGTTTTTTTCATATTTCATTTGAAGGGGATGTTGGGAACCCAAACATCATTTTGGAACGTGAAATTACTGGATGTTCCTGTTTTCTTTCATAGACATGGACATGCAGGGGAGGATGACTTTCCATAGTCTTGATGTTCTTGTTGAGGAAGAAATCACCTTGAGTAGTGATTAGAGAGTCAATCCCCTGTGGTCAGTAACCAGACTGACCATTTGGGATGAGGAGGGCCCAAACCGATCTGGTAAAGGAACAATCATTGAACAGGTGATCGTGAGTTTCAGTATCTGAACTGCACATGGGGCAAACTGTATCCCCCGTCTAACCCTTCTTAACTAAGACATCTCGTGTTTAGTTTGTGCAAACTCAGGGATCAAAAGATCTTGACCTTAAGCGGAGTAGGCGACTTCTAGATAAAATTTTGTAAGTGGGAGAATGTACCTCCTGAGTTAAGAAAAGAGGAGAGAGATTTGACTGTAAACTTGCCTGAATGGTGGAGATGTCAGGTAATTTCATCTCTGATGGCTACTTCTGGTGATTTAGCAGACTCAAGCTTAAGATATAGCTGGTCAATCTGGTTTCTGTTATCGTCAGAGTTACCTCTTTTGATAATTGGGTGTCACTTCCAGGAATTATTGATGAGAAAGCCTTGATAATTGGTGGATGTGGAATTGGCAAAAGCAAGCTGATGCACTCTGGGGAACAGACTACTGAGGGTGTTGTCCCTCAACTATTTATCTTGTCAAAATCTACAAAGTTTACCATCCCCCAGTTTCCATTGAAACAAGTGAAAGAAAGGATCATGAATAGAGAATAAGTCCTTAATCTGTTTAGAAGCTGAAGATTTAGGGGGGTTAGTTATGTGGTTAGAGCTATTAACAGAATAAATAGACATGATCACTTTACCAATATAGGATTCTTTGTCAAGGATCTTCCAAATCCATTTAGATAACAAAGCTAAGTTAAAGGGTTGCAGATTAATGACACCTAGTCCTCCTTCATCCTTAGCTTTACAAACAATACTCTATTTCACCAAAGTTTTAGATTTTGAAAATTGTTGGTAGGAACCCCAAAGAAAGTTTCTTCTAATTTTGTCCATAGCCTTGAGAAGCCAATTAGGGAGTTTAAAAAATGACATACAGTATAACGGGAAAAAGGATAGAACTGAATTCACCAGCGTGAGTCTATCCCTTATGGAAAGGGACTTGTTTTTCTATAATGCCAACTTTCTCGAAAAAGAATCTAGTAGGAGTTACCATTACGTTCTAGACAATGAACCTTTTTTGAGGGGGAGACCAAGATAAATGAATGGAAGAGAATCGATAGTGCAGTTGAGTTTATTAGCCAAATGGACACCTCTGCTATGAATTTTTCCAAAATAGAAGAGGGTGGATTTAGATAGATTAATGTGGAGACCAGAGATGTTTTCAAACATGAACAAGATAGATTTGAGGGTGAAAATATCTTTAGTGTCAGCTTTGCAGAAAATGAGGGTGTCATCAGCAAATTAGAGAGACCTGATAGAGTTGAGCTCTCCTTTAAGATTAAGATTTGAAGATCACCAACTATGAAACTGGCTGTCATCATCTTATTGAGCACGTCCACTACCAACAGAAAGAACATATGCAAGAGGGGGTCTCCCTGTTTAAGGCCACGGTGACATTGAAAAAAGAAAGAAGGTGAACCATTAACAAGAACTACAGATTTAAAGGAGAGGATGTAGGAGATCTAGTGACACCATATGGAGCTGAATCCTCTGGCTTTGAGGAGAGATAAGAGAAAACTCCAATTAACACAATCTAAGGTTTTGAAGAAGTCCACTTTAATTGTGCAAAGTTCATTTTTCCCTGAAGAGCAGCTGTTGATCATTTCGTGGGCTAGAAGAACAGAGTCGAGATGATTTGCCGTTTTGAAAAGCTGATTGAGATTGATCAACCAGAGAAAGAATAAGGGGTTTGAGACGGTTGGCTAAGATTTTGGTGAAAATCTTAACAGAGCTGTTAAGAAGGCTAATGGCTCTGAAATCAAATGGTGAACTTGCTCCCTCCTTAGCCATGAGGCAAACAAAAGAAAAGTTAATGTTGTGGAGGGGTCTAGCATCATAAAAAAGAGATTGAATGAAGGATGTGACATCATTTTGAATAACAACTAAAAATTTCTGGAAGAACCACATTGGGAGGCCATCCGGTCCTGGAGATTTGTCTCGATGAAGGTCAAAGACAGCCTTATGTATTTCTTCTTTGGAGAATGGATCATCCAGGGAGGACAGACAAGTGGGATTAGAGGGATATAGATAATTCCAGTTAATACTGAATTTGGAAGCCGGTTGCTCACTGAAGAGATTGGAGAAGAAATCCAGAAAAGCTTTTTTTGATATCCAGGGCTGACGTCAGGGAAAGATTATTATAAAAAAGGTATAGGATGAAATTGATTCTTCTACGATGGGAAGCTACTCTATGAAAAAAAACAGAATTATTATCTTCCTCTTTGAGTCATTAGATCCTGGATCTCTGCTTCCATTTAATCTCTTCCTCTTTAGCAAGGGAGAACAAGAGAACTCTGAGTTCAACTCTAGAGGCAAGTTCAGAAGCAGAGAGAGGTCAGGTTTCTTCAAGACAGTTAAGATAATGAAGGTTAGAAGAAGCCTTAGATTTTGACAGGGATATGTTATCCAGAACATTTTTGACCATCCACTTGATTCTTCTTTTAATGAGTTTGATCTTAAGGGGCAAAGGAGCTGGGAGTTCACCTTGGACAGAGAAAGAAGACCAACAAGATTGAACAAATGGAAAGAATGATTGATGGATAAACCATGAGTTTTCAAGCCTGAACACTTTAGATGGAGGAGGACCCCCTGAGTCCAAAATGATGGGACAATGATCTGAGCACGTGGAAGGAAAGGCAAATTGAACCAAAAGAGGAAATTGAGATTCAAAGTCTTGAGAAATAAGAAATCTGTTTAACCTGACAAGAGATGGATTAGCTCTAAGGTTAGACCAAGTGAACTTTCTACCACTTAGAGGAAGATCAGAAAGATTGATAAAATTGATGAGCGATTTGAAGGTAGAAATCTTCCTAATAGAACCAATTCTACTACTTCTCTCGTCAAGGCTTAAGGTCACATTAAAATCCCCAAAGACCACCCATGACAAGGATAAGGATTGATGAATCCTAGCAAGTTCCCACCAACAAACTTCTCTATCTTCTTTATTATAGGGGGCATAAAGCCCAGTTAGAGGGTTTATGGGTGAGGAAGACATCTTCTTTATTATGGGGGGCATAAAGCCCAGTTAGAGGGTTTATGGGTGAGAAAGACAGTGACAGAAAAAAATACCTATATTGGAGTCAGAGCAGTTGAATAAGGACTCCTTCCACCCTAACGTTATATCTCTAGAATCTGAGGCATCTAAAACAGACCAGGAAAATCTACTACTTCCCAAACTGAAAAGGGTTCTAGGATTGGAGGAAGAGAGCTTAGTTTCCTGAAGCCCCACAAGGTCTAACTTAACAGTTATGATACAATCTCTCACTAATCTATGTTTAGCAGGGTTGTTAAGACCTCTGACATTCCATGAACCTATCTTCATATCTAAAGAAAATGACCCAACTTGGAGCAACTTAAACCAATAAACAAAAAATCAAACTATCTCTATGGTAAGGGTATTGACCCTTCTTTCTTCATGACTTGAATGTCAGAGAGACCTGCTGGATCAATCGGTTCTAGGATGCCACAGTTAATAGCT